GTTCTCTCTCTCTCTCTCTCTCTCTCTCTCTCTCTCTATTTCCTACTATGAACAGTTCAGTAACAAAGTGAAAGGAAAAGAAAATTCTCAGATTATCATAAGGATTATCAGTCGCTAACAATCTAAATCAGATTAAAAAAAGTAAAGATAATCTCAATCGTACGGCTATCGAGGCTACGTCGTCCCTCAATTCTCTTGGTGTTCGCAATTCAGGGAATCAAATTTTAAAAAAACTATCAGAAAACCAGGAGGAAAAAATAAGGAAGGAAAAAGTTAGTCAAATTAACAGCTTTGTTCGCCTTTGTTTTAATTTCCATTTTAAGTTTTAGAATTAGTTTTCAAAATGAGTTTTTCTTGAAGGTAGGATGAATGCTAGTTGTTTCAAGAGGTGTTTTAACAGCCAAAGGCAGTAAGGTAATATACTTATAGTTTTTTCATACTAAATGTAGATCATGAAAAATTAAAATGTGTTAGAAAGTTAAGTTTAAAGCTTGTTTAACAATTTCTATGTTATAAGCATGTTATAAAGTTTTATTTATGATCCTTGTATTTACATAAAACTTTAACCATGTTTGAAGATCTCACTAAGGTCTTTGGGATTGAAAAATAGACTTTTTAGTACTTGTTTTATGACTTTTGCAGTTAGAGTATCGATACTATAGGGATAGTATCGATATTTGTTTTTCATTTTGGGCAGATTCGTGAGTTTATAGGTAAGAGTATCGAAACTTTGGGTTATAATTTCGAAACTTCCATAAAATTTCAAAACTAGGAAGAACAAAATGTTTAAAAGTATCGTTACTTATATAAAGTATCAAAACTTTTGCAGAAGTCTATTTTGGTCAAAACGTTACCCGAGAGGCCCTAGACCCATAATATGACCATAAATTGGATCGAATAGGTGTAAAACACTAGAATAAGTGTTATAAAAGGTGTTTAAAGTTGGGTTAAAATGGATGAACTTATAGCTTTTTCATACCAAGTGTAGATCATGAAAAGTTAAAATGTGTTAGAAAGTTAAGTTTAAAGCTTGTTTAGCAATTTCCATGGTAGATTATTCATTTGTTGTTATAAGCATGGTATAAAGCCTTATTTATGCTCTTTATATTCACATAAAACTTTAAGCATGTTTGAAGACCTCACTAAGGTATTTGTGATTGAAAAATAGACTTTTTAGTACTTGTTTCATGACTTTTGCATGTAGAGTATCGATAGTATCGATATCTGTTCTTCGTTTTGGGCAGATTCGTGAGTTTCTAGGTAAGAGCATCGAAACTTTGGGTTATAATTTTGAAACTCCCATAAAGTTTCAAAACTAGGAAGAACATAATGTTTAAAAGTATCGTTACTTATATAAAGTATCGAAACTTTTGCAGAAGTCTATTTTGGTCAAAACGTTACCCGAGAGGCCCTAGACCCATAATATGACCATAAATGGAATCGAATAGGTGTAAAACACTAGAATAAGTGTTATAAAAGGTGTTTAAAGTTGGGTTAAAATGGATGAAATAGTTATAGGGGTATCGATACTACAGAGAGGGTATTGACGTTATAAGGACAATATCGATACTAAGGGTATGGTTTGAGCATTAAATCACGAGTAAGTGTAAAGGGCAAGCGAGGGTATCGATATTGTAAGGCCAATATCGATACCAATGTTGAGAAATGGGCTTTAAGTCAAAAGAAAATATAGAAGTAAGTGAGGTTTCCAAAAGCTTATAATTTCTCTCAAATAAGACTACAAGTGAGAACATTTATTATTGTTTAATTCAAACGTAGAAACGAGAATAAAGTATGGTGAAATAAGACTAGCTTTGTTTGAATGCTCAGGAAAATTACTTGGACACCCGAGTTCTTTTAGAAAAGATAGTAGAGTCGACAGTATAGATTCAGTCCGGATATCCTTAGGTAGGGCCGAAACCCTTATGACTAACTATGTTTGTCTAGGCTAGGGATGGCAACTCAACCCGAATCCGACGGGTTCCGACCCGACCCGACTCAATCGGGTCGGGTCGGGTTTTTTTTAAATGTACTGTTCGGGTCGGGTCGGGTTTAGGGTGAAAAAAATCCGACCCGACCCGACCCGAAAAATATATATAATTTTATCCTATATATTTAGGGATAATTACAATAATGTCCCTCCATATATAATTTTTTTCAATTAAGTCACTGTTTTCATTGAATAAATTTTTTTTTATTATTATTTCGGGTCGGGTCGGGTCGGGTTTCTAAGTCATATATTCGGGTCGGGTCGGGTCAGGTGAAACCTTAATTTCGTCGGGTCGGGTCGGGTCACGGGTGAAAAACCCTTTCTTCTCGGGTCGGGTCGGGTGGCCCAAAAACCCGACCCGACCCGACCCATTGCCATCCCTAGTCTAGGCCTTAACACTCTTTAGAAGAAATAGTGGGTTAGTAAGGGGTATGGTTTATGATGCAGAGACTTCTGGGGACCATATCAAGGGTAGACTAGAGGGATGTGTGAGCTCCAAGATAGAGAACCCTCAGTCGCACCATGATGTATACCATAGCTTAGAGAGTGAGTATTCGAGAATACTCACTAAAACAGTTTTAAAGCATACTAGCTTGGGCGCAAGGTCCAACACTCAAGGAGTGGGCTAGTGGAAAATAACATATAGCAGTAGACCTTATACCAGTAGACTTGATAGCTTGGGATTTCAGTGATGCAATTAGTATGTTTTAGCTGTTAGTGTGGCGTTGAGCTAAGATGTTTCCGAGGGCAGGTTAGTAGATAAAGTAATTGGGAAGCAGTAGATAGACCAAGGTTCAGACCAGTCTAGTGTAGATCAGATGTACGTCTCAACGTTTTTATTTGGGCATGTATATTTGTAAGCATTATTATTCAGTTGATTCGTAGATTCAGTAAAGTTGATCTGTAATATTTTTGAAGTGTAAATATTTTATTTTAGAACTCCTAAGTGAAAAGATTTTTATTATATTTCAGTTTATTTTATGGTTCTTTTAAAGCATTAGAAAGTAAGTTTAAAATTGGTTAGTCACTTCAGTGATTTCGTGTAGCACATTAAATCAGTCAACTGCGTGTCGTACCGTTGTAGGGTGTTACAATATGGAAACAATGAGATTAAATAATATATTTAATATAAAAATAAGTGTTTAAATTATATTTTTGTTTCAAAATAAGTGTTTAAATTCTTTTTCAATCAATTGAAGTGTTTAACGTTTTTAACATTATGTTTTTAGGAGTCTTGATTGTAATAACTGTTAAAATTTATAGTTAAATAACACATGTTGTTTTTATAAAATTTTAAAAATTTATTTATTTCTAAAAATAAAATATTATTAAAAATAAAAAATAATTCCTCCCCACACCATCCCCTCCCCCTCTTTCTCTGTATCCCCATGCAATCTTTTCAAACGACAAAAGACTAACGAAAGTGAAACAGTTGATTAACATCATTTTTAGATGTTCGGCCGATTACAGAAGTATAGAGTTTTTGGCTGTAGGTGGTTGGTAGGTCACACGTTATTTGGTGTTCGGACAATTGACAATATCAATCGAAGGTGATAAAAGAATTAAAATTAAGGTTTTAAAAGTTTGAGGTTTTTTTAAGATTGAGGAAATTTTGATTTTTTAAATTATATTTTTTGTCTTTCTATTTTAAATAAAAAATCTCAAAGTTATTAGAACATGAATACGTGACAGGTGACACTTAATATAAATTTTTAACGATATTTACGATTTGAATACCTAAAATGAATATGTTTGTAATGTTAGATATATTGATTGAACGAAAAAAATTTATGCATGTACATGAGAAAAATGGTATAATTTAAGCATTTATTTTCATATTAAACCTAAATAATAATTAAAAAAAAATGAGAAATGAAATTTATGTACACTTTCTTGTAAGGATGAGTAAAATTTGCCACGAAGAAAAATGTTTTTGTTGACTCGATTCGATTTAAATTAATTTGATTTATAATTATATAAATAATTTTGATTTTTAAAAAATTTAAATTTGAGTCAAGTTATAAAATAAAAGTTAAAAAATAACTTAATTTTTAATAATTATTTTCAAAGTTTGAGTCGAATCCTTCAATTCTATATGATATATGTACATCACATATAAAAAATATGAATATATATATATATATTGCATATGATTATAGAAAATCTTTTAAATTATAATTAAGTAATACAATAATATTATACATATTTTACAATTAAATTAAAATATAAATTTGAACAAATCGAATTGACTCCGGTAGAATTTTATAAACTCCGACTATATTTTTAAAAATATAATTTATCAACTCGAATAACTTAAAATCTTTTTGACTCAACACAACTCAACTCAATAAAAAACTCAGTCTTACATCCATCTCATGTTCTTTTTCTTAATTCACATGTTAGTACTTAAATTTCATCATTTTTTCTCATAATGATAAAAAATGTTGTATTTTTTTCATTTGAAATAATATATGGATTTTATTTTATTTTTAAATTGTTCAAACCATATCTTAGCCAATGACAACACACATTTTACAAATACATATGCTCTAACGTAGAATATTTAGAAATAACAACATTCTTTTTAACCATCGAAGTCGCTTAAAGTATCAATTTACTAGTTAAATTTATATTTTAGTCAAATTTTATTATTAATTCATTTATTATATATAAATGACATATTTAATAATTTTATTTTATTTATTATTTTTAATACTTTTTTATTTTTAAAATTTTCGTTACTAACTTAAATAGTAGTTAATAAATTCATTACGTCAAACGCCCATTCTTATCTTAACGTTGTTACCATATTGATAAATGAAATGAAATGTTGAAGTATTAAATTAGACATTAAAAATTAGGGATATCATATTAGAATATTTTATAAAGTAGAGGGGGCAAACCTGCTATTACCTCTCACCCTATATTTACTTTACATTCCAAATGGGAAAAATATTTGAACATCCTTTAAGCGGGCTTTCTCTTTCTTATACGCTTTTCCCCCAAAATTTTATTCCTATCTTCGAACCTTTTTCCATTTTCATTCTCAATGGCCACTCCAACTGAATCGTCCATCCTCTCCGATCTACAGACCGCCGGCGATTCCAAAATCATCCACTCACTGGTCTCTGACTACCTACGTCCCATCTACACTCTCGCGAATTCCAAAAAGAAGAAACCCGACGAAGCCGCCGTCCGCTCGCTCGCCAAACAGTTCTTGTCCTTCATTTCCAAATCCTTCCCGATAATCTACAAGCGCATCTACATACAAAACCCTACCGAACAACAGAAATCCTCTCTCGGTGATTTCTTCGAGACTTACCGACTTTGCATAACATGTCTTGAGTTCGTCTCTTCGCAGATAGCCGGCGGCGCGCACTTGGTTCAGATCCAGAGGTTGAAGCTCGTTTACTGTTTGCATTCCTGGGGACGGTACGATGATGGAGAGAGCGAAGCACTCAGGGTTTTGGAGAGGCTTAGAGGGGAAGCTAAGTCAAAAGGTGAAGTTGTTCCGAATATCGATGTTGCTGGCGGAGATTCGAAGTTTGGATCTATTGTGGTCGAAGCAGTGGCTTCTGTAGTGAAAAATGTGGCCATGGGACACAGTAAAGATTATGGGAAATATGAAAGGGTTCTTGCTTTGGTGGAACAAGTGAGGCCTTGGTGCAGGTATTGAATTTCTTGATTTACTTAAATACTTTCGCGAAATGATTTGCTTATTTATTGTTTTTTTGTGTGTGTGAGTCTTTACAGGGCATTAGACTCCGACGTTGTTGAGAAATCGCACAATGTTCTTGTTACTTTTCTGGGCAGATGCTGTCGGTTTTTGGTTGAGGAGATTAATCATTTTGGCTTGGAGTTGGTACGACGGTTTTGCATTGAATGTTTGGCCGAGTATGCTAGGTCAATGATGAAGGATCAAGTTTATAAGGTATACGCTTTTACTTAATATTTAGCCAAACATACATGTTTATTGTTTTTTTTAAATCTTCTAATTTTTACATTTGCAGTTTACCCGCAGAATATGTTCCTCATTGTTCTCGCTAGAGAGAACCAATAGCTCAGTTCAGATTGCCTTAGTAACGTTTTTGTTAGCATCCACGTCCCGTGAATGCAAGGTAAGATAGACTATATAACGTTTTAGAATGGTTGAGGAATATGTGGAATAAGTCATTTAGCTTCAACAATTCTAGGATTTTTGTATGCGTGCAAGTTTTGACTATAAATTCATGTTCCAGCCAATAGTTCCCCAACACCAATGCTGATAGTAGTGTCACATGATAGTAACGTTATAAATATGTTTCTTGTTCGGAATGCTGATACCTGCATTCCTTCTGTACCCTTTTGAACCTTTCCAATTAAGCAGTTATTGTGCATCGTAAACTGGAATTTATGTATCAGCTTTTGAAACCATTACTTGAAGACCTATGATGCTGTTTTTGAAGGTGGTCTGTATGAATGATGGTGTCATTCTGTTTTGTTTACATATCATTGTTCTTTTTATTTGGCTTAGTCAATAATTTGAGATATACCAAATATTCTTCCTAAACTGCTACTAGTTATTCCACACATAATTTTGCTTTACTCGCTCATTTTTAACCTTTTCAGTTAGTTTTTTTAAATTATTTTAATGTATAATTTCAACCATCTTAGGGCTTCATAGCTGATGTATATTTCTTACATTGTGATTTATTTATTAACTTATTTGTTGGCAGGTTGATCTAGATAATAATGCAATAGAGTTTGTTGAACTTGTTGATTACTGTGCCTATAAATGTCGAGCTGCTGGTGCAACTTTTTGTAGCACTCTAGCGAAACATTTAAATGACATAGCAGGTGATTTTCGTGAGGTATGTTGCTTGACTTCAGCTTTTCTGCGGATTGGATTTGTACCTATTTTATTTATTTGGATAAGATGCCCTAAGTTATGTTATTAAATTTGGTAAAATTTCACAGGCTACAATCCCTGTTGATCTAATATTGAGGCTTTATGCAATTGGGCTAGATTTTTCTGAGCACAATGTTAAGCTGAAATATGATAATCGTACCACTTCCAAAGGTGCAGAAGATGATTCAGCTATTGATATTTTGGTTCTTGAAAGGGATAAGCTGCACACTTTGTCTGCTTTACTTGGAAATTTCTGTAGCACTGGCAAAGTTGAGACTAGCTTAGCATCTGACGTTGAATGTAAAAATTTTGTGGCCTGTGGAGAGAGAAAGGTTTATCTACTGATGTACCATAATACACTGAAATTCTTGTGTCAGCCGCTTGCTGAACTAGTAAATGCAGAGAAAAAACAGATACTTGCTGAAACCAAAGCTTCATCTGATTCTAGCAACCTTTGCATTATCCAGGACGCCTTTTATCAGTTCTGTGATAGTTTCTTCTCTCTTGAAAGGTAAGCCTATTTCTGTCTTGGATGGACTAATTTTGCTTTGTTATAACCAAATGTGATTACAATTACAATTTGACTTTGTAGTCAAAGGAGTGTTAATTTTTCTTTGTATCTAGGTGACTAAAGGACATAATCTTATGCCTTCTAAATATGACATTCTCTTTGCTTGTGTATGCTGATATTATTCTAATTATGCAACTTTAAAGAATTATGTACTTTTTGGGTCATTATTAGAAGGTTACAATATCAACCGATGATGTATCATCGTGTTTACGGATTTGAGTTGATACATGCCCAACTATGGATGATGTTGAATTTAGTCTAAATGGTAATAAAATTATTTGTAACATATTTTTTAAAATATATGGGAAATCATTATTTACATAAATCAGTTATGAATACAATGGTCGTCTAAATTTTCTTACTTACCCTTGCAGCTGTACATCTGAAGCAAAGGGAGAAGGATTTGATGATGATGAAGTGTTGGTACCCAGTATAATTGTGGCCGGATTTATTGTTTCCATCTGTACAAAGCTTAATATTCCGGTCAGTTAAACTTATCTGTACAAAACATGGTTAATTTATTGACTAATTTTGGATGAGATGATGTCTATTAAATTTCTACAGTTGCTGATTTGTTTTCCCTTTTATATTTCAGAAGAGTGTGGGTTACATTAAGCAAATAGTTGGCAGCAGTTGGATTCAATCTCAAGGGCTAAAATACGTCTATATCTCTCTATATAATATTGGTGTTCTTGTGTACAGAAATAAGCAGATTGAAGAGGTACTTAATCTTTGAAATTTGTGGATGTTAAGGCTATCGTATTATATAACAGTTCTTTTGCATGGTTGGTGAATCCTATTAGTTTTTAATTTCTAAATGAACCTATTTCATTTCTGTGTGATTGAAGCTATTTTCATGCATACTTATTTATGTTGGATCTGGCATCTGCATGTTGATGTTCATGTTTGGAAGCATCCTTGCCAGTTCATTTGCTTTGCGTCTAAGTTCCTTGTTCATATAAGTTATCAATCCAACCTTTGCAGGCATTGAAGGCTTTAAAACTTTCTCATAGAGCATCATGGACAAATATTCAGCTTCTCTGTGAGATGTATACTCAAAAGAAAAGTTCTGATGATCATTTGTCAGAAGATTCTATTAAAGATTTGGTTTCTGATGCATGTAGTAGAACTGCTTTTCTTTTGGAAGTTCTCCATGCATGTGGAAATCTTAAGGTGGAAAGAATTATTGTGGAGAGCCTTGAAAACTGGTCCACTCTTGAAAATTTGTTTAGACAGTTGTCAAGTCCTATGCCTTTGATAAGACAATGGGTTAAGGTATAATCTTCAAATCTCGGTCTGTTTTTCTGCATATTTTTGTTATGATGGCCAATTGTTCATTTGATTTCAGATACAATGTAAACTTCATAAAAACATGGATTTAGAGGATAGTGCTCCAACTTTATGTTGTATGCTGCTGTCTTCTTTGGAAGTGTCAAAGAGGGCAATTGGCAAAATTTTAGAGCAGGTTCATATCTGAAATTATTTTATTGGAAAAATAGCCCTTCTAGGTATTTTCTATTCTTCTTGCTTATGATCAATGAATGATTTTTCCAATTTCAGGAGCTTATTGCATATCAAGAAATGACTCATGTGTACCCAGATTTTTGTCAGAGAATGCAAATGAAAGTTATCGATTTACTTATGCAAGATGATTATGACATAAAAGATAATCCTTTACAGAGAGCAAAAATTTTAATTAGAAAGGGAAGAACACTAAGGGCTAATGGGATTGAAGCTTTAAATGACTGTATATGGTGCTTGTCTGAAGCTATATCTATTATGGTGAGGTTTTGAGTTCTGCATGGGATTGCTTCTTTATTTTTTTCCTATTGATATTAGTTGTAATTCTATTGCTTCTTTTTGGCGTTGAATCAAATCACAAACTTGAAGTATTTTTTAAACAGAAGAACTTTTATGGTGAAAAATGTAATGCTGGAACTCCAGCCTGCCATCAATTAGCTGCTGCGTATGGCTTACTTGCACTATGCACTCAGGAAGCTGAACCAAACTCCGAGGTATTTTTGTATAAAAAGGTCTCCAGATTTGACTAATTATTGCTTAGTCATTCTTTAGGCTTGACTATATGTTTTGGTCAATAATAGTGATAAATTTCAAAATTACTGACTGTTCATACTTTGTTTTCACCAAAAAACAGGAAGTTTATCAGCATATCTGTGCTGCCTTAAATCTTTGGTCAAGGATATTCATTCCTAATAGTTGTTTCATGGGCGATGAGCTCAAAATTGTGTCCGGAAACACACTGCAACTGCTATATAATATACTTGATTTGCTATCAGTGAAGGTGTGCTTATAGTTATGACTGACTTTATCTTTTAGTCATGAAAATCTATTAACTGTTTTACTTATGGTTGTTTCTTTCTTACCTTTTTATCTGCAGGGTTACACAAAATTACACTGCAACATATATAAACTGATAATGAGAATATACAAACTGAACAATGCAGAACTTGGAAAATGTGCAGCCAACCTCTGGGAGTGTAGGCGGCTTAGTCATGCACTCTGCGTTTCTCCGGTAAATGAGTCATTCATCACAAATTTATCTGAGCAGTGTGGAGAAAGTTCCAAAACTGTTGATTTCTGGATAAAATGTTTAAGTGGGTCCCAACCAGGGCTTATTGCGTTCCAACAGAACATCACATGCTTCTTTAACAATTGCATCCAAGGCTTGAAAAATGATGAAAGCAATTCACAATCAGCTGTGTCAGCTAACAATATAAATTTGGTTGTTTCTGAACTCATTGCAAGTGTAAGTCATGTCAGATTTCAAGTAAATGCTACAATTTTTATATAACTTTTTATACCATTGACTGAATTGATCAGTTATCTGTCTGCTGCTCTCATAGGATCCTGTGCGTAGTTATTCGCTCTTCCTTGCGGGGTATCTCTACTATGATTTGTGTGAAAGACACATCTCCAGTGGACGGTTATTTGAGGTTGATTTCAAATTTTGGCATGATCTAACATATTTTTTATCTCTTTCTTTAAATTTCCTTATCCTGTTACATTTTAATAAATTCAATTTTTTTTACCATGAAAATCTTACTCATGTTGTTACTTATTATGTTCATGTCTGATGTTGCTTATTATAATTTTCTTTTCTAATTACCATTTTTCTGCTAGGGTCTTTCATATGCAAAAGAAGCTTTTCGACTGCGGAGTCAACTTTTCAAAAGAAAATTTACATTCTCGATTAAGGAGGAATCTGGTGACAATTGTGAAATTGCTCAGAAGGCTATAAATGGTCCAAAGAATCTTCAAGTGCACAGAATAGTTGCTAGTGAAGTCTGGTCTTTTGACAGCTCTTCATCAAACCTGTGTAGCTGTTATCTTAGTCCATGGAACGTGCTTCAATGTTATCTTGAAAGCATTCTTCAGGTTAATTTTTTCTCTCTTACAGTCTGGTTTACTTCTCTACAATGTTTTACCCCTTTTAGGAATCTTTTTATTTTATTTGATCAACATACTATGTCCAGGTTGGATGTATTAATGAAATGGCTGGAAATGGGGTTGAGGCTGAATCTTTCCTATTATGGGGAAAAAGTATATCCTGTTCACAGAGCTTACCACTATTTGAAGCTACTTTTTCTTCTATCTTGGGTATAAAAGTCTTTTGCAGCTGTTATTTTGTGTCTCATTGATAATTGTTCATTCTTACAGTTGCAATGGTGATTTGCTTAAAGTTTACTTTCTGATGAAATTAGGGAAATTATATCGAAAGAAACAACTATGGAATTTTGCGGAGCAGGAACTGCAAGGTGCCAAAAGAATTCTGGTAGATAGTAGTAGCAGTTATTCCTGCATAAGATGCAGATTGATGTTGGAAGGTAATCTTGACCAGCAACTTGGTGATTTATTCCGTAATCTTTCAGATAGTGATGTCATAAATGACCCGAAAGAGAAATTATCTCATGCTGAAGTTTTGTATAAGTCAGCCCTTGAGAAATTAAATCATTCTCAGTGGAAAAATATCATTAGTGATGAAGAAAGTACGGAGGACCTGGTGATAAGAACTGCTATAATAAGTGGTGAATATGTTGCTGGCAATGCTGTTTCTAAACCAGATGCAATAGGTGCCAGAAAGGGTAGGAAAACTAAGAATGTATCCAAACCTGCGGTGAAGGAGCAACAAGTAATACCTGAACAAAGTTCAAGGGTAACTCGCTCTAGATATCGATCTACTCAAAACCAAAGCATTAGCAGTACTGGTGAAGTGCAAGTTGGGCGTTCAAAACACTCAAATGATAATGTTGTGTCCAAAGTCTCTGATACTTGTTGGGAAAAGGAGTCACCACTCTTGGGTAAAGAAAGCTATATGGATGAATCGAAAAGTGAAACTACATGCATTTGTAAGCGAACCAAGTGTTGGCAGTGCCTTCCTGCTGAGATTATGAAATCTGGGTTACTGATCAACTTCATAAATATCAAATGGGAGTATGCCCGCAGGAAACTTTTGGCGAGGATACTTACTGGTATAGGTATGGTTCAGTTGCCTTGGTATTATTTGATTGTGTATTTCAACACACATGCACGCCAACATATAAAAACTAGTAAGTTGGCCTATTAGGTGTCTTTCGATTTGAGATCATATTACTGTATATAAATTATTTGATATTAAGCTTTGTTTAATTCGAAGTGAAAAAGTAAAATATTTTATTCATTCAAAAGTCAAGTAAGCTGTAGTGGACATTCAGCGCTCTTATTGGAAAACACACTGAATGATAGGATCATACTCCGATCATCTGTCTCAAGACTTCCTTTTTGTAGGACAGACTGTATTGTAGCATTTTTGTTTTTTTATTGCACTCTGCTATTTACAATTTTTTTACAGTCTTTTAGTTGTTTTTCCAGGCCTTGTTTGAGTGAGGAAAAGGGTAGAGTAGCCATTAAATAATTCTTGTAAATATTTCCAAATATTTCCAAAATTAATACATTAGGGGAAGATCTATCATGAGAGTAGTTAGTTTAAAGCTTATGCTTGAAGAAAATATTTCTTTCTTATCAATTAAATGCACTCTTTATTATAAATGGTGTTCAGTTCAGTTCTCATTGATTAATGTAAAAACATACATTTACTTTATGCTTTCTTGCAATTTGGTTTTCATATTTTTAGGAAAATGCTTGGGGTATCGTGATCAGACACATGAAATACACAAAGTTATTTGGCAAAGCATATCTGTCCTAGTCAGCAGAAATGCGTATACACAGACTTGTTGCTCTGCTCGAGGATCTTTCTTTCTTGATTTGATTGGAAGGGAAATCATTGGAGATACTTTTGCTGTTGAACGTGCAGCAATCCTATACAGTATAGGTTGGATAACTGTGAAAAGCTTCCATTCCAAAGGTACCAGGTATGTGTGCTTGTATGTCTGTCACCTCTATACAGGTTCAATTAATAGTTGTCCTCTTTTATGTTGCAAGATACATATTTTAACCAATCTGCGTGTATTTATGTTTTCAAATTTACATGTATCTAAATAAATGAGGAATCTGGTACAATAGTAAATTATGAATTATGTCTTTTGTATTAATTACTTGTTCCTTTTCCTCTTTTCATGGTTTGTATTCTGAACAGGATTTTATGCTGTGATCTTTCCAAAGTTCAGTTATCAAAAATGATACACTGGCTGAAGCTAGCATTTGTACTCAGCTGTGAGGTTCCTCTACTTTTCAAAAAGGTTGAATTTTTTATTATTATTCTGATCTGTTCCTCATGCTTGCATAAGCTTAATATAGTCTTAGGTATAGTCTTATTTTAACTTGAGGATAGCATGTTCACTATTTTGACTGTTAATTTATGAGTAGTGCCAAACCTGTTTGAAATTTGGTGCCTTCTTCTTGTCACCTGATTAAATTACTTTTCCTAATTTTCTGATCTATAATAACATCAAACCAAATATCAGACAGTCTGACACATTAAACTACTTGAGACTGGTTACTTCTTCTAAAGGTATTTTTCATCCAAATTCAAATGAAATAAAAGTTAAGTTCACTCAAGTCAATGAAATTTCTCTTTAGAACTTTTGATTGACAGATTTCCTAACTCCTACCGAACTACATGGCTATAATGAAGGAAAATATTATCCAATTAAAATAAATTTGATTGATTACCACTTGTGATGTTTATCTCAAGGTACTTATTGTTTTTCCAGGAAGTTTCCTTGTAATTTCCATTTATTATATTTGCAGGTCGCTCCCAATAAATTTGTCCTCTTAACTGCTTTAACTTTTTATTCTCTCTTTTTTCTAATGCCCTGGCAGCTAAACTTTTATTTATTAACACTCAGGTTTCCAGATTGCTTTCTGCAGTATATCTGATTTCTGCCACTAATGAGCATTTCACTTTGCCATCTTGCAAAGCACTTTCTGAAAGTCATTGGGCTTCATATTTTCATCAAGCTTCACTTGGGACACATCTTAATAATCAATTCTTTCCTAGTACCTCTGGGAGATCTAATACTCAACATTTTGTAGATTCTGGGGTAAGCTTGCACACTTCATATTGTCTTTCCTTGGCATAATTTTCAAGATGATACAATATCATGAAAAGTTATTTGCCATAGGTCTATAGCTATATTATCTTCAGTTAATTCTTTCTCAGTTGAAATTTTAGTGCTTCCAAAAATTGTCTTCAAATGTCAAGGTATTTGACATACATGTTATAGTTGAATTGTATCACAGCCACACTCCGTAATGTTAAGAGGAAATGCCTTGCCCTAAATAGTCATTCTGAATTCGGGGTCGCCTTCATCTTTAATTATGATAGTAGCATTTTTAATTATGCTCTGGCGAATTCTGTTTCATTGGTACTAAGTGTTAATTTGTGGAGTCTTGCCAACTTTTCTGATTTGCTCTTTCTATCATCTATATTTATGTACTTCTGCAATTTTACCTTTCTTGATTATTGATGGTGGCACTTTTTTATTTCCTTCTGCAGATTAATATATTATTACACCTTCTATTTCAATTTTCTAATAGAGTTGTTGGACTTACATTTTCAGGACTTGCATGCAACTGGTTCATCTTGCCCACATACTGAGACATCCACCTTAAGGTTTCTGCTGCTACAAGTGAAAATTTATGAAGATTTACTAGCTTAGTTTCTCCTTACCCCATCAAGCCTCAATTTGTACGTACGAAAAAGAAATGTTATCCTTTCTTCTTTTTGTTCTGTTGCAGGCTTGCTCCGGAGTCAGTTGATGATCTTGAGCAATTTGTGATGAACTTTTATGAGGGCCTTCCTTCCACCACCATCATCTGTATAAGTTTGCTTGGCCATGCTTATACCAGCCTATTGCAAGAATTGCTACTTGACCCTTCTTCAATTCATGCATGGATGCTGTTGTCACGGCTGAATTCCAAGAATCAACCTATTGTTTTGCTTTTGCCTCTGGATTCAGTTTTAGAAGGTATTTCTTTGGTAGAAATTTTTATAATTAAAAATCATCAATATAATTATTGCGTATAACAACCTGGCGCTAAAAGAATCTGGAAAAAATATACAGAAGTTTCAGAAGATGCTGCTCCTAATGATGAGAATGCAAGAGCTTGCCAGGAATTACGTCAGCGGATGTATTCAGGTAAAAAGTGGCATTGTCCGTGGGGTTCCGCTGTGGTTGATAATGTAGCTCCAGCATTTAAAGTGATATTGGAAGAGAACTACGTGACATCTTCTGGCTGTCCTTTAGAAGATACTAAAAGTACTAGGTCTTTGTGGTGGACGATAAGAAAGAAGGTTGATCACCAACTTGGTAAGCTGTTGAGGTAGGGAATCTCTTTCGTCTGGTATTTGTTTATCCATTTTTGGCACAATTGTGATTGGGACTGGTCCACCAGTGGCCATTTCCATTGGTGCTCATAAGACTCGATTCAATTATTCTTCAACATCTCTTCTTTCTGGCACTTCTTGTAATATATGTATTTTCTGCATTTCCTGTTGGAATTGAGAACTGATGTATGAACTAATACTTGCATGGCCTGTTTTTCCAGTAATTTAGAAGATTCATGGTTGGGCCCATGGAAGCATGTGCTTCTCGGGGACTGTGTGGAGTGTGAAAATTTGAACACTGAGCATAAGAAGCTGGTGCGGAATCTGAAATCTAAATGCAAAATGGGCATAAACGAGAGTTACCTCAAACTTGTTCTTGGAGCTGCTAAGTTTGATATTGAAGAAGTGTGTCTCTCAAAGCAGTGTTTGCAAAAGGGATGCTACATTGGCATGCTTGAACATCACACAGAAGAAGATTGCGGATCTAATGACATTGATAACGTGTCTACATTGGCTTCTCGACTAATACATGAAGTGGCGAATGAGCTTCATTGGGAGGACACATTCTCTAGGGAACCAATAATTTTGATATTGGACTTGGATGTCCAGGTTGGTGAAATTGCTCTATTTTTTCTGTATTTATATTTAGGGTAAATTACAAATTCCATCACTAAACTTTATTCTCTCTCCTATTTTGCTCATTGAACTTTAAAAGTTTTCAATTTTTTCACTGAACTTAATATCTTGAGTTTTTGTGGTTACTCTGCCTTTAAATAGTTAACGGCGTTAAAACGATTCCGTTTTCAAAGAACAAAAATTTCACCAAAACAACGCCGTTTTGCTTCTATATAAAAGCCCATTTGTAACGCCATGAGTGAGGAAACGGCTGAGTGACCAAAAAAACTCAATGTATTAAGTTTAGTGAGGAAATTGAAAAGATTTAAAGTACAGTGAGTGAAATAGGAGAGAGTAAATTTCAGGTACCAAATGTGTAATTTACCCTTATTTTTATCTCAGGGCATATGAATATAGCATGAATTTTATCTTGGTTCAAGAAGATGGTTGTCCTTTAATAGAAATTTTTACACCACATCTTTTCTTTTGCCATCCTCTTGGTTTGATTGTTCCTTTCGCCTTTTGAAAGTCCATTTATCCCTTTTTATGGTAACAAACTGACCATACGAGGACTCTGCAGATGCTTCCCTGGGAAAGTATACCAATTCTAAGACAACAGGAGGTTTATCGAATGCCTTCTGTAGGCAGTATCTCCATTTTACTTGAGAGAAGTCGTCGTCATGATGAGTCACTTAGTAGGAATGCTGCTGTTGTCCCTCTAATAGATCCCTTGGACGCATTTTATTTGTTAAACCCCAGTGGTGATCTTAGAAGCACACAAGCTGAATTCGAGAACTGGTTTAGGGATCAGAAATTCGAGGTAATTTACCCCTTTCTCCTCTCATTACAATGATAGGAAAGCCATTTTTTTCTGTTACCTTATATCAGCTCATGTTAAAGTCATTTTCTTAATGATCCATATAGGGAAAGGCCGGGATTGTGCCTACAGCTGAAGAACTTGTTACAGCCTTGAAAAGTCATGACCTTTACTTATATTTCGGTCATGGAAGCGGTAAGCCGGTTACTCTTGTCATCTCCGATCGAATTTACCGGTGCATCGATTTTAGAAATGCATTTATGTGATTCCGGTTGGTACAGGAGAGCAATATGTTTCCAAAGATGACATTCAGGGACTGGAGAAGTGTGCTGCCTCAGTGTTAATGGGCTGCAGCAGTGGGTCACTGAGGCTTAACGGATGCTATGCTCCACGAGGTGTTTCACTATCCTATATACAAGCCGGTTCTCCCGTTACAATTGCCAACTTGTGGGAAGTAACAGACAAGGACATTGACCGGTTCGGGAAGGCCGTGCTCCATGCTTGGTTAAGAGAAAGAATGGATGTAGCAGAAGATTGTTCCCAGTGCAACCAACTATTGAAAGAATTCGAGGCGATGAAAATAAGGGGAGGCGGCCGTAAAGGCAATTCGAAAAAGAAAGGAGCAAGCAGCAATTTGGTCGAGACGGAAAACAATGGTTCAGCGGGTGATGTATGTGAACACAGGGCAATGATTGGGTCATTTGTTGGTAAGGCCAGAGAGAGTTGCACCCTCCCCTTCTTGAATGGGGCCGCACCAGTTTGTTATGGTGTCCCGACAGGCATTGTTCGAAAGAGACCACTGTAACCGTGTAATTGTACAGATCATTTCATCTAATATATACAAAAGAAAAAGAATGTAACTTTTGCATATGACACCGGGAGTAGCTTAAGAACATTTAAAATAGGAATTTCACGTTAGATTTACTCAACTGACTAGCTAGTAAAATTCTATTTGATTTAAAATATTTAATCTTTTCAAAATTTAAGTTAGCATTGAGTCGAATTTAAATTTATTAAGTTAGAACGATATTATTTGGGTCGTTAATGTCTTTATTTCCTTGATTCCTCCAACATTTCGAACGTATTTTTAAATAAATTAGACACATGCTCTTCAACTACTTTAGGATATATTTGTAACTTTAATTTGTCCTTTTAAGTGTAAATTTTATTCAATTTAACTTTCTAGTTGCGACCCATAACAATGAGTGTATCATCCTTATTAATATGAATCTTCCTTTTCAAATAAAAAAATCTAATTACAATTTTTTTTGTTAATTCTATCATTTTTTTACTCCTTTGTATTCCCACTAATATTGTCCTCAAAATCTATTTAAAAATAATATTATAAATATATTATATGATTTTAGATATTTGATTTATTAAATAATATTACATATCTTACTTAAAGCATAAAAAAGAATATGAAAACTGTGCATATTGTATATGGATAGAGATCCATTTAAATTAAGGGTAAATTATATCATTTCTCATTTAATTTTACTCTCTCCTATTTTACTTACTGTGCTTTTAAATTTTCTAATTTGCTTATTGAATTTTACAGATTGAATCATTTTGCTTACTCTGACGTTAACTTTTTAACGGTGTTATGACATAGCACAAGCATCAAAACGACATCGTTTTGAAAAGCTCAAATATACACCAAAACGACGTCGTTTCGATCCTCTTCTTTCCCTCATTTTCTCTCTATTTTGCAAAAAAAGGTGATCGGTTGTTGTTTCCGGCCATCACATCATTTTTCATTCCAACTATCGTCTATCATCATTGATGGTGGCCGTTCGATCTCAAAATTCATGGGTCGATTTGTCTTGACCCCTGAGTCCGAATCTGGTGGTTGTTTCACCGAAAATTGTTCCAAAATCCTTTAATCTTAACTGAAACGTTCCGACTTCCTCACTTTCAATCTTAATTCGTGGATTCAAAATGGAGGCCTGATCCAGACTCAATGTGTCGAGGTGAAACAAACCATGAAATTTGAGACCGAACGACCACCATCTACAATAGTTGGCGGTGGTGGTATGCGACCACCCTCTGTTTTTATTTTATAGTTAGGTGAGCAAAATAGGAAAGATAGTAAAATTCAGTGATGAATGATATAATTTATCATTTATATTTTTAATTATTTTATATTAAATAATAATAAAAATTGACACATCATCGCAATATTAGAGAGATAAAATGATTCAATATGTAAAATTCAATGAACAAATTAAAAAAAATTAAAAATACGATGAGTAAAATAGGGAAAAAAATTTAGTGAGGAACGATATAATTTACCCTTAAATTAAAATTAATTAATACCATAATATTATAAATAATTATATGTAAATGTTAAAACCTTTGACAAATAACTCAATTTTATAAAAAAAAGTTTAAAATGAGAAGTTGTAAATAATAAGCGCCAATGCCAAAATCTTTGTATCAAACAAATGACTCAACGAATAGGCATCTAAATGAACCGAATCAAACAAATACGAATGGGGTATGTTTATATTTGTTTATTTAATTTTAACTGAATAAATGAACGAAAACAAATATAAACAAATGAAATTTTTTTGTTCGTGTTCGTTCGTTAAGGAATGTAACTTATTTGTGTTCGTTCATTTAAATGATAAACGAACATTAACGAACGTAAACGAACACAATTGAACAAACATAAACGAACGTAAATGAACACAAATGAACGAATGTAAACGAACACAATAAACGAACATAAATGAAAATATTTTTTTCTTTCCTAACAATTTTAAGATTATATTTTATTTAATTGTTTTGAGTTTTTTTATTTCTTTTAAAACTAATTGAATTTTAAAATATTTATGGCATCAAATTAAAATTTATTAGGCTTTAATATTTTAAATGTGTCTAAAGAGATTGTGCTAAATATAAATGAACGCACATAAACGAACATATTACCAAACGTTCATAAGCGTAAATGAACGAACAAACCATCTGTTCATGTTTATTCATTTAATTAAACGAACACAAAATATTATTCATGTTCATTCGTTAAATAAATAAACGAACTTCCCACTGAACAGTTCGCTGAACGTTCGGTTCGTTCGGTGGAAAGAAACTTCACGCGACATGAAATTGATAGTGTGATTCACGGGGTCATTTAAACATAAGTACGCGGTGGATTTGAGAACAAGATAGCGTCTGAAAGACACGCTCCGTTGAAACTTTGGTCGATGAGTGATGATGACATTTTTTATGGCAAAAAGTCAGTCGAGGCCCCTGAACTTTTAAAAAAAATTAATATGACCCTATATTTTTTTAGATTAATGTGATCATTCAACTCAAAAAATAACTCAATTTGATCATTTGACTAATATTTTTCCGTCGTTGACCAACAGTTTCGTTACTTTCTGTTGATGTGACATATCAAGTAGTCCAATTCCTGTGTTTAGTGTTGTTTAAATTGAGTAAATTAAATCATTCATCACTCAATTATTCTCTTTTCCGTTTAGGTCACCATGAACATCTCTAATACTTCACCTTCAAGTTCCACCCTAAAGCAGACCAATGAACCAGACCAGAAATCCATGAAAAACAAGCGTTACCGCCCTCTTTTACTACTCAACTACGCCTTCCTCTTCGTTGGATCATTGTCTTCAAGCTTGCTCTCAAAGTACTATTTCAACCACAAGGGCTCGAGCAGATGGGTTTGAACTTGGGTTCAATCTGCTGGGTTTCCATTACTTATAATCCTCATTCTTCTTCCTTACTATCTCTTCAAATCCACTGAACGTAAACCCTTCACTCGTTTCACTCCAAGAATCTGCTGGGTTTCCATTACATATAATCCCCATTCTGCTTAGGCATAAACAATATTCTTTTCGCATGGGGAATTTCGTATCTCCCTGTGTCGACTTCCTCTCTCGTTTTATCATCTCAGTTAGTGTTCAATCTGATCCTATCTGTACTCATCGTGAAGCAGAAGATCACTTTCATGAACGTGAATTGTGTCAGTTTGTTAACGTTATCTTCTGTGTTATTAGCCTTGGAATCGAGCAACAATAAACCCCATGGTTTAACCAGAGCCAAGTACTTCATCGGGTACTTCGCGACCATCGGTGCGGGGTTGCTTTTCACGTTGTATCTTCCCATCATGGAGATGGTGTACAAGAAGGTGTACTTAGCTATGGAAGTCGAGTGAGAAAGTGAGGGAATCAGAAGGGAAAGTTGAGAAGGAGAGCCGCATAAGAGGAGAGGAATTAAAAAAGGAAGGTAAGGAAGAAAGTGAAAGAGCGGTGATTGAGAGAGAATGAAACACGGTGGAGAGACAAACCAGAGACAAACCAGAGACAGAGAGAGAAAAAAAAGGAGGTAAATCAAAGTTTAGTGACCAAAATGGAAAAGAGAAAATAATTGAGTGGTGAATGGTTTAATTTACCCAATATTAAACACAGGAGTTGGACCGTTTGACGTGTCACGTTAGCATAAAATAACAGAACTGTTGATTAGCGACGGAAAATATTGATCAAATGATCACATTGAATTATTTTCTCGGATGCCAAATTGTCCAGAAAAGAATGGATAGGGGTCATATTAATTTTTTTAAAATTCAGGGGTTTGTAACGCTTTTTTACCTTTTTTTTATTAATATGGATAACTACAAGGTTATATATTTGTTCAAAGCTAATTCTTAATCCTTTGACGTTATATATTTCCCAAAAATTTTATAATAGTCGAACTTGAGATCTCAATAAATAGTAATATTTTTTATCATTGAATTCACTTAATTCATGCGATTGATTATAATATTTAACGGAGAAAAATATATCATAAAAATAAAAAAAAATGTGATAAAAATAAAATTATGAAATTCTTTTTAAAAGAATAAACGAAGAGTAAAAGAATGATATGAGAATTTGAGGAAATATAAAAAAATATTGACCACGATAATTAATATAAATATTGGTGTTATTGTCTATCAATAAAAAATATGATAAATTATACGTTTAGTATCTAAACTATCAATTTTGATTCGTTTTAGTAACTAAATTTTCATTTTTTTCAAATTATACTTAAAGTTTAATTTTTGTTTCATTTTAGTACCGTTGTTCAAAATTTAACGTTAAACTTTGAGAAAATTGAAAGTTTAGGTATTAAAACAGACAAAATTGATAGTTTTAGGTACTAAATGTGTTAAGTTTTTAACAATGAAGTACTAAAATGAAACAAAAATTAAATCTTACGTATGATTTTGAAAATTTAAATATTTAAACAAATCAAAACTGATAATTTAGATATTAAATTTGTAATTTACCCATAAAATAAAAGAGAAAAACAGCGTATACAGTTTCAAATAGAAAAAAGTTAGGCAATGTTATTGATTTTTTTGGTGTTTGTATATATCTATATATATATTTTGAGTTGTTTAATTAGTTTATTAATCATTTTTATATGATTTTTTTTACAACGCACACACATTATAATATAATTATTTTTTTATTTGACAAAGAATGCTCAATCATCCTGCTGCAGTAGTTGATACTCGAACTCGTAACCTTTAGAAACAATAACAATTTTTTTAACCACTGACTTAAGTTGGTTCGTGCCAGTCTACTCTAATTTTATAAACTAGTCTTTTAATTTTAATGTATTTCCCATCCATTCAATTAAACTAATAATGATTATTGGTTCAGTATTAATAATAAAATAATTTGTTGTCATATAATGTCCTATTGATATAAGTTTGGGCATCAATTAAAAAACCCAAAGGATTTGGGCTGAGATGGTAAGATACTAAGATCCAATATCCATAGAACCCGAACTCGTCGACCCGATCCGAATCTACATCACAGGAAGAAGACCACCGTATTTATAATGCTCAAAACCCTAAAAATCTAAGCCCAAAGGAACATAGAGGTAGGGGTTTACGAGTTGCATAAACAGGGCAAATAGGTCGCCTGTTGATTTCTTCTTCTTCAGGCAGCCGTAAACGTCGAAGATGCCAAAGTCTAAGCGTAACAAAATAGGTTTACCTTCTCTTTTGAATCTTTCACCATTGAAATACAACTTCTTTTTTGTTATAGTGTTTTGAAAAATTTTGGATTTCATGGTATTTGCAGTTGCGCTATCAAAGACAAAGAAGAAGGGAAAGGAACATAAAGAATCAATTGTGAATTCCATAAGGGAAGCTGCGGAAAGTTACAATTCTATCTATATTTTCTCTTTCGAAAACATGAGGAATCTTAAATTCAAGGAGTTTAGAGAGCAGCTCAAGTCCACCGGCAGGTAAAAGTTTCGAATTCAATAACCCATTTCCCCCTTTTTTTGTTGATCATTTTGTTGAAGTTTGTGTGCGTTTTACTTCAGATTTTTCCTTGGTTCGAATAAAGTTATGCAAGTTGCATTAGGCCGTTCTGTTTCTGATGAGATAATACCTGGTCTTTACAAAGTCTCTAAGGTATATTGCAGTGACTTATATGTATATTAGGTGTATGTGACTGTATATATATATCGCATTGCTTATTTTTATGTTGGTTTTTTTAGTATAACTATCAATTGTTTTAAAGCTTCTGCGTGGGGATGCTGGGCTTTTTCTTACCAACATGCCAAGAGAAGAAGTTGAAAGGTAACTACCATTGAAATCTTTCAAGATTTTAGGCTGTTACTGATGAAATTGAGCTTATCTTTGTGTTTTGCAGCTTGTTTAATAAATTTGAAGAAAATGACTTTGCAAGAACAGGAAGCCTTGCGACCGAAAAGGTAAATATTCTTCATTTCATCTTTTGTTTTCTTCTTACTATGGAGTTTATATACTTAATTACCGACCTTTGGGTTTGCACTTGCTTTCTGCCATTTACAGGTGGAACTTCCGGAAGGCCCTTTGGATCAGTTCACACATGAGATGGAACCCTTTCTGCGCAAGCAAGGCATGCCGGTTCGGTTGAACAAAGGTTGATTGTTTATCTCTTATTTTTGTTCCCATCATACATGTATGGTATCCTTTTCGATTGAAGTTGCATACTAACTTGATCTATGGTGTACAGGTGTTGTGGAACTTGTTTCAAACTTTGTTGTTTGTGAGGAAGGAAAGCCTTTGTCACCTGAGTCTGCTCGGATACTGGTATGTTCATGTTTCATGCCTTCATTTTCCCTGACAAAGCATAATATTGCAGTGAAGTAATATTGGATTCGTATTAGTCAGCCATTTCCTGTTAATTGCAATCATTTGATGATGGTTTTGTCTACTGAAACTCAAATTTTGGTGATGTTTTCTTTGCAGCGCTTGTTGGGTATCAAAATGGCTACTTTCCGACTAAACTTGATATGCAGATGGAATCCTGAGGACTTTGAACTCTACAATGAAGGACTAGAAGAATCCGATGTTGAATTCGCCTAGACCAAATTTTCCAGATCGCAAACAATCACATTAAAAAAAGGGATTTAATCATTCAAATTTCATATCTCGGATACCATCTTGGTTCTTATGGTAGACATGTGCTATCACAAAGTAAAATGCGGCGGCATTGGCGTAGATTATTTCTTTGTTTTGTCTTGATTTTGGGTTATTGAAGTTTTGACTGGTTTTATTCTGCAACTGTTGCACTAAATTTTGATATCTTTTAATATATTTTCCTCCAAGTTCTCTCCGTAAAATCTTCTGCCTCTTGCACCCTCTTTTCTTCATGTCTTATCCATGCTATGGTTGATTTCGTATTGCAGCGTTTAGTAAACACAAACATTGTAATAAACACCCTTTTTTCTTCAACTATGTTTCTTTTACAGCAATGAAGGGTTCCGGATTTGTGGAGTATTCGAAATTTTGATGAAAGGTCCCACGGTGAACTTCTGCCAAAGGCAATGCTAAGCAAATTAAGCTAATAAAACTACTATAGCTGAAAACTACTAAAGCTGAAGAGGAACCGTATTGGTATTGAATCAGGGAAAAAATGGTGATCAAACATGGTCATGTGCATGAAATGCAAATTCGGATGAACTTTTAAAATGAAGCCATGATAGATTGACCTCTGTCCGAAAATGAAGTTTTTGCATCCCATAAAATTGTAAATGAACCACGCGGTTTCTTCAGCTATAGAAACATACTCACAATGGTGTCAATTCAGCCCTCTAAAAGCTTTAGCTCCTCAAGCCAACTTCTCCAACTGTTCTGGCTTCATATCTTGCTGTGGTGTTTTCTGTTGAGCTTCTGCGAGTCGAATCTACATATGAAAACCAGTATTCAGGTTAAATAAAAAAACATAGAGAATGAGTTTTAGTTATTGAAAGCATGTCGGATTTAGAACAAGGTCTCCCCTAAAAAGCAAAAAAGCCCCATGCCGCCATCCATGTAACAGGAGGAAGACAAATGCTAACAACTTGCAGTGTTCCAGTACAATGCCAGTACTGAAATAATGAAGTAATTGCATGCTAAAGTCACTGGAAGTCATCAAACATGTCTAGGAACAATATAAAATAGTAGAAACTTGCATAAACAATGCCTATATCAATGAACCGGTTGTCAAACTAATCAGTGTACATATTTGCTGCAAACAAGCCTCTTCGGATAGGTGCAAACACCCATACATCGTTGCACAAAAACCGGAATCTTATTTGGAGCCTCTTCAAGGAGTGCAACTGATTCAAAAAGGAAAGGAAGAGTAGGGGTTCAGATTAATTCGAATATGGGGACCCATAGTAAGAGAACAAGTTAGAGGGATGGTCACCCAAAAGTAAATTGATAGCAGTGACATTCATTTACACACAAGGAGCAAAAGGGGAGCATAACTATAAACGCCATTTGAAGGAACTTAAGCAGGCATTACAGAAATAAAGCAGCATGCATTTTATACTTCCTTTCAGACTTCTGCACCAAATGCACAAATATCCACTATGTAAATGCATATGAGGTCAATTGAGTAAACAGAAAAGAAACATCTTATTAATTTGAATCAGTGGAAATATGATATATACTTTTCTTCCTTTCACCGTCCTCTCTATTTATTTTAAACCAAAAAAAGCAATTTCCAATTTGTTCTCCTCCCATCACTGTCAATGTCATAAGTCTTCTGTCTCTTGAACTTAAAGGATTACATTGATATGACAAAATAAACTTTCCTAACTTCAAGTGTTCACCACGATGTATTATAATGCTGGACAAATTATTTTACATGTTAAGTGAAATGAGCCATACCTTCTTTTTAAGTGCTCGAATCTTTTTATCGAGATCTAGGGCTGGTTGTCCAACATCTGAGGCCTCCACTGAGTTTGAGGGAGGAGAGGTTGATACATGATTTGGGGAAAATGCAAGATCAGTCATCTGAGATGTCAATGATTTAACAGACTCTGATCCATCATCTAAATCTTCCTTAGGTACATCCTCTCTTTCAATCTGGTCATCTGCCAAGGCTTCTGACTTCTTGCCCTTTTCAAGAGCATCCTGCCATAAATAAATTGGTAAATGAATGTTAAGTGTTAATGTACGGATATTCTTGCCTACTGTCTAGACTCACTAAACAGACCATATCATATAGCCTCTCTTCTATGGTGTACAAACTAAGCAGGAAAATAAAATAACCATCTGCTTGGAGGCTTGAAATGAGCCATGGCTCAAGCTTAGGCAAAAATGGCAAAGGATACAAAATTTTGTGATAAACATAAGACTAACATGCAAATCTAGGCCAACTGAAGTTTTACAGAAAGGAAAAGCACTGAAACATTTCTCTTATGAGAAAGTTTAATGAACCAGGCAAGAAAATGCAATGAGCCAAAATTGCCAAAAATAAAAAAAACATTAAATAGAGGTTCGCGAAATATCATAGCAACAAGCTTCATACTTGTAGCCGTTTCTCCTTCTTTCGTTCATTTCTCTTAGCTGACTTAGTCTTCGATTTTGCATCTGCAGGCGGATCGTAACCTGGAGGCACTACTTGTGATGCTGCCATCTCCTTTTTCCACTGCATCATCAATCAAAACATAGATCAATGTCATTAAATTATAATAATAAATAAAAACAACAATGAAAACAACGATTTGCAGGAGATATTTCCATGAAATAAAACTTTGAATCCAGTAACTCCAAAGAACAAAGTCTGAGTCTGGACCGAACTTTAGTTGAATGGCAATTAGTATTGATGGAATGTAGCAATGAATAATCTCATTCAACGACCCATTATAGAAAATTAAGTACATTTAACACGAAACTTTTAGCTCCAAAACTCACCATGGGCAAAAAATTCCCACATACACAAAGCATCAAATATCATGCATCACCTATCCATACATTAAACACAAACATGTCATGCATATCAAAACATACAAAATTGACGCCACCTCTTTCCTCTTCCTCAAATTCTAATCACTAAAACAAGCCAATAGAAGAAACTTGGACGCAGGGAAATGCATACATTATACGCATAAACTTTAAACATACTAGGGCACCTTTAGACTGGTAAATGGCGACTTCCTCTTGGGGAACATACCCGGCCCGAATACGAATGGGCTTGCGGAGAGTGCCGTCGGGTCTTCGAGTAGGCGCCAAAATTCTCTCTCCTTCTTTTAGGGTTTTCCTCAATTCCGCCATCTTCTGCAATTGCTCTTCACTTCCCCCCAATATTGCTAGCCATTGACATAATATTTTTGAAATTAATCAATTCGTTTCACTCTGATCTTTGGGGCTCTGATTACTGCATCAGTTCCAGAAATCAATCAAAATGTATTTATTTCACAATCCTATCAATTCAAAAAGGTGAAAGAAATTAAAATTTGAAAGAAATATTGTATCTAAAAAACTTATTTTGTTTGTGGGCACTTAATTGAATATGTTGTAAATACATTTTGCTCCCCTAAAGTTGTTGTAGTTTGAATTTAGTCCCTTTTAACTTTTTTTAGTCAAACTCCAAACATCCAAAAGTCACATTGGACAATAATTAAATCATAATATTTAAATTTAAAATTTTTATTTAAAGATATGCACAAATCAAATAAATTCAATAGTAAAAGAATTATTGTTTTTCTTTAAGGTCTGACATTCGAGCACCATAAATGTTATGTATGAATAATTCAATGTTAAATGGTTGAAAGTTATCTTTAAACAGATACTACATTATACTTCCCATAGATAAATAAATTTTAGGATAAAGTATACAAATGATCTCTCGATTATAGGGCGTTGCTTTGTTGACTTCCGACTATGTAAAGTTATAAAATGATCACTCAACTATTCATATGTTTCTAACTCGTCATTTTTCGTTAAAAAATTGATGGTCATATGAGCTTACATTAACTTGTGGAATGAGATATGATAAAATCTAATCTAAAAACCGTGTGAGCTATATTTTATAGGTCGACTTTATGTTTACATTATATCATCGAGTTAGTGTTTGAAACATTATGTTGTCGATCCAATGATTGAAAACAATGACAATGCGAGTAGACATCATTAAAATATGATTTTATCATATCTCAGACAACAAATTAACGACCATTTCAAATGGCCATAAAATTTTAATAAAAAAAATGACGAGTTTGAAACATATGAATAATTGGGTGATCATTTTGTAACTTTTTATAATCGGGACTAAAAAAACATCATCCCATAATAGAAAACTATTTTATAACTTTTAATGGTCAGATAACATAACGGAGATCATTTATATACTTTACCATAAATTTTATATTAGTTAGTATTATAATTAAATTTTAATATAATTAATCCTAATAGGTCATTGAGTGTTAGTACAAATGATTGAGAAAAATTTAAACTTGTAAAGTCAAGATTAATATGGACAAAATGATAAACAGATCTAACGTAACCAAAGATCAACCTTCTGCAACAAGATTGGTTCACTTTTGCAAATCGATTCGAAGAATGTTGTTCCGAATACTATATGTTATCCTCCAACCGGCTCGGTCAAGGTGGTTTCCACACTGCAGAACGAGGTTGATGATTAAAACCATGTTGGACAGGGATAGTTTACTCCCTCTTATCCTCTTCCGTGTCGTCTTCACGGTCAGAGACACCGGCATTTCCATTATTCCTCTCTTGCTTGACTAAACTGACAGCCCCATCAGAATGCCCCCTTGTTAGAGATTGTGCTTCTTCATCATCGAATTCCTCCCCGACATCTCCCGAGTATGCATATCTGAGCAAAGTCGGCAGTAACGAGCGTATTAGCATAATAACATGGAGAATTTAAGATTCATCATCTATTTAAATGAAGCTTCTAAAAGTATCCTCCCTACGATCAAATTGAGCTATCTCCAGCATGTCAAAACCTCAGGCGACATATGATTTAAGAATTTTTAAAATTGAAAAAGAAAATAACGGTTAAGGTCATCTAATCGACTCTGTAAAACTAAGAAAGAGTAATACGCACCTTTGAGAGCTCTGAGATGGAGACCAAAGGTAGCAAATAACACAGAGTAGTGCAAATGAAAGAATGTCCCAGAAAGCTGTGATGATCCAAGCAGTTTGCCACCTCTCATTGAATGGATCTGTTGCTTTGAAGTATACCTGTACTGCCAAATAGATCAGGTCCATGATAAATTGAACCCATTGGTATATTACAAAGGACCAAATACCGGTTTTAAGTACAATAAATGTCTTCGTCATATTACTTCACTTAAAACACAAATATTTGTCATTTATCCGAGACAATATAACATGAAATATCAACCAAGTAAGAAACCCGAATCTAGACGAAATATACCTCAAAACTTATCCATCCGACTGAAGCAATCACCGCCACAGCTAGTGCATTGGAGAATTTCCTATAGAGGTCCAACTTTGCTGATATTTTTTTTACCTGGATGAAAAACTAATGTCAGTCATTGAAATTTGTACCGTATAAAAGAGCAAAGTGAGGGGAAGTATGTGATGATAATGAATGAGAAGAGCTATTACCGTCAAGAAACTTAAGATCGCCAATCACTAAATCATAATGGAGAAAGGAAAAAAAAGAACAAAATACCTGCAACTGCTCTAGTGTTTTTGAAAGAGATGTAAAAATCCATAATATCAAAAATGCATCTAGGAATGCGTCAGGAAGGACTAGGAAGAGTCTTGCTCTTCCTGATATGTCATTAATGGCCCCTACATACTCGGTAATGTCCAGCATTTCAGATGCCAAAAAATAAGTCGCTCCAAGAAGAAGCACCTTTGATGTAAGGCCACCTAAAGTTGGGCGTACAACACCATAGCCCATCGAAACAGAAAGTATGAGGAGTCGAGCAAGTGTTTTTCTTATTGCTCCAACAGTCACGACCCAACTTGTAAGTACAACAGGCCTCATTCCTGAGCTGTTAAAATTAGAATAGTCAAGATACCACAATATCATTTCAAACAAACCCAGACCAATGACAGCAGTGATGCAGTGCTGAAGTAGCAGGATATCTTTCCAAAACCTCACATACTGCGAGAACCAAATGGCACTAAGCAACAAATAGGCAATCGTCATGTAAACATAAAACTTCATCAATGGTGCCATTCTCCCTGGTAAATAACCATCAGGGTTCTTCCACACCGTCTTCCCACTCATTGTTGTTCCCTTGAGCTTTGGATCACATGCTATAAAAAACAAATTATACATCCCTGTTTTCGTGATGGGAACCTCGGTTTTTTCCATACTGGTTGACAAATAGTTCCCACCAAAATGTATGTTCAAAACAATAGGCCAATTACTATCTGTTGCAGAAGGTATCCGAATGACTTCACCTTGCTTGCACCCTTCCAGCTTAGCAAGATCAGGGGTACAACATATCGATCTCTGTCCACCATAAGCTGAACCACCTATATTATTTCTATCAGCAGCCTCGAAAATAACCGCTTGTATCAACCTGGTACTATGTTCCTCCTCGGAATGGCCATCTGCAGCAGCCTGAGTCCTCCAGAATGTGATATTCTCAAATCTATGAATAAGAAAAATACATTCAAGGCATAAAATTTTGGAAGTGAATGAACAAAAAAACAATGGAGGTCGAAATTCTTAATTCAGCACCAAGAAACTGGTTTACTTATGAATAGTCATAACTATTTTAATCCATGGCCACATAAGATAATGAAAAAACAGCATTAATTATATATTTTGACAAATGATAATGGCATAGAAAACTCAGATCTCTGGTACCAGAAATCGCTATCTCCCTAACAATTTTCAAATAGGTTCTCAAAAACTCAATGAAGGAACACTAACGATCCATTTCAATAAGACTTCATACCATCGACAAATAATTTATTACAAAATTATTGAGTAAAATAAACAACTCATAAACTTCATAATTGATTTATTTAAACATAAAAATTGTATGCATAAGTTCCAAAAAAACGTTATACTTCTAATAAATCACATGTCATTCCTACTAAACAAACCGGTGAGGACTAACCCTTATCAATTACATTTCACACGAGTAGCGATTTATGTCTACATTTTGTTACTTAAACCAAATCGATTTGCATTCTTGGTGACATGGACTTGGATATGCTCAAATAACCATTTTCACTCGAATATGCAATTAAAAAATAGTAAAAAGGTGAAAAATACATTTCTTGATTTTTCAGAATTAGATCTTCCATAGATCATCATATATACACCTCAAGTCTTGAGTATTAACTACTTGCTAACAGATCTAGTCCGTATAAGTAAAACAACACCATATTCTTCGCTTCAAACTCTAGTAATTTTTTGATTCAAAAGCTTTAACAAATTGAACTTAAAATAAAGCAAACGATTCACATTTTTTAAATAAAGGAAATGTCACGTTAATACTACCAATGAAAGAGCGGACATCGGAAGCAGACTTAACGGAGGAAATGTTTCGTCAAAAAATACTAGAAAATAACTGAAAAATTGTATTTCTTATTTATCAAAATTAATTCATCCGTCGATCATCATAGGTACACCTAAATAGTAACTAGTTTCTAGCAGATCTAATCCATATAAACAAACCAACGCCATGTTCTTCACTTAAAGCTCTAATACATTGTGTTTAAAAATAAAACAAACGAATCACATTTTTTAAATAAAGGAAATGTTTCGTCAACGTTACCGAATGAAAGAGCGGCCATCGGAAACGGAGTTGTCAGAGGAAAGAGAGGCGGCGAGGCCTTCACTGCCGCCTGAAAGAAGATAAGCATTTCCAACTTCGCTGAAGAGTTGATTTTTGTAAATGTGGATTGAAGCATTGATCGTTGTTAACGCGGTTGATAATAGAAGAAAGATGGATATTCGGTATGCGAGATCCATGGTTACGAAATTGGGGATCAGTGTTCGGCCCTAAACAGATGCGAGAGAGTAGATCTGAGAATTTGAGGGGAAAGTAAAAGTGAGTAAGATCGAAGCAATGGTTTAAGCAAAGAAGCAAGCGCAGCGTCACTGTCGGTGAGAGAGAAAGTACTGTTACGCGCCCTATACGCGAGGGTTTGTGGCTGTTGTCTTAAATGTTTTGGCTAACTACACCCATGACCACTTAACTATTGGTGGATTCTTTTTTAATCAGTATTCTTTTAAATTTATCAATCAAAACACTTAATTGTGAAATGATTTTATTTTGATCATCGAACCTTTTATTTTATCAATAAGACTAATTAACTATTTAAATATCATCGATCAAGTCATATATTTGACGAAATAA